AGTGATGCTTGACTCCATGAGTGAATGCCTCAAAAGCTGCATGTGGCTCTGTGTTAGCATTATCAACAGAGCTTGGATTTCCCTAACCCAATTATTCACCTTTCCCGTTATGTACTCGGTCTTGAAGTCCGTCGTGCCAATTACTGCGCCTCAGTGTCTTTGGCCATCCTTTGTTATTTTGACCTCACTTCTGCCGAACACCTCCATTGCCTGTTCATAATGTTTTGGCTTCACAATGAGGAAGGACTTGCTGGCGTTTGGGTGGTACCCTATTTGTGGACCTTGTGATGTTACCAAGTCCCACCACTTTTTGATGTACTCCACTTTTCCTGCTCCTGTAAGGTCATCAGCATACGTCACTTGCTTGACCTCAGTTGTTTCAAATTTTATTGTGTGTTGGAGCATGGATAGGCCTATTACGTACATTGCCATTGCAACAGGGTCCCCCTGCGTTGTTCCCTCAGTTGACTGTATGATGGTATCACCTCTTAGAGCCTTGTTGTTTACTATGTAGAGGTCTGATGGATTCCTATAGGAGTTTTCAACATACATTGCAAAGCTTGGACACTTGATCTTAATGTTGTGCAGTGCGGCCTTGCGGTTAAGTATGTTGAATGCGTTTGAAGCTTCTTCCAGGAGAACGGCCTCACAGTCACGCTGCTCAAATATCGTTCTCATGGAGTGAATGGCAGCTTCCCCGCCAGCCTGGTGGCCAGCACAAACTTGCAGGTTCCGTGCTGCTGCCCTAACATCATCCTTTGCCACCTCTATTATGCATCTACTACTATTGCTACTTTTTTTTATTTATTATTATTTTTTTTTTAAACATGGCCTCCAGCCTCCCCCAATAGCCACACCTTCGCTGCCATTTTATTACCTTAATATTAAATATCCTAATACATAAGTATCTATCCTATCTGTGTTGAATTAGTTGAGCTGCAGATCTATGAGGCATTCAGTGACTGCAGCCTCATAGTCAATATCTGCAGCTGTTGTCAGCTTTGGGGCCGATGCTCTCGTTCCCCTGAGGCAGAGCAAAGCCGACCGAAGGAGAGAGAAGGACAGTCAACATCTCATCCAGGCTGTAACTTCTGGGCTGCTGCTTCTGTTCGGAGATCACCTCCGCGAGTCTGGCGTAGAAACATCTTGCACTTGGTCCCATCCCACCAGAGGTTGTGAACACTAGAGGAGTGAAGCTGCCTTGATCAACTTTCTGAATTCTCTCCCCGTATGCCCTTATCTTGTCGTTCTCATTCCTCCTGTGTGCAGCATCTAGAGCTAAGTTATGGTGACATGCGGCCATGGGATAAAAAATCCTGATGTCGAAGAAGGCTCGCTGTCCCCACGTCCAGAATCCTCGAGCACTGACGTCAACACGGGTTTCGTTGGATATGTTTGAAGTCCTATGTTGGAAAATCTCACCGTCCAATGGAAGGAGGGTCGGTTCTACCCTGACATCATGGCAGATTTCCTTCAACATATTTGCTGTGAGATCCCTTACTTCGTCATGCCTCATGCATATGAAGCCCCCCTTCTTGCACACCAGGGCGTGATCGACGTCATAGGAAGAGCCACACACACAATGGGAGGGCAAACCTTCTACTGGCTTACTGTACCTTAGAGCGTTGGCAACTGTAAATTCTTGTTTATTGAGACTGAAACCATTTGCCCCTATCGGTAACATAGTTAACCAGTTCGAGGCGCCCACCTCCTCCTACATTTTCGCCCCCCAGGCCCTGATGTGGGTCAGTGATCTGTGCCCCGGTGGGCTAATCCCTGTTTAAAAAAAAAAAAAAAAAAAAAAATTAACCCAAAAAAAAAAAACTTTGGTTTTCAGAGCTTTTTTTTTGGAATTTCGGATAAAGGGTTGTCAACCTATATATATATATATATATATATATATATATATATATATATATATATATATATATATATATATATATATATATATATATATATATATATATATATATATATATATATATATATATATATATATATATATATATATATATATATATATATATATATATATATATATATATATATACACACACACACACACACACACACACACACACACACACACACACAGTCGGCCATTAACATGCGGGGGTTAGGTAACAGAGATACCGTGAATGTTAAAAGTCTGTGTACTTTTGCCCCTAAAAAAAACCCTGGCCCCCCATGTCCTTATTTACTGTATATACCTGTGTGTACGAGTTTTTAAGACCAAATTATTTGGCAAAAAATTGGGGTCGACCTCTAAACGGGTAATAGTTTCGTTAGGTTGAAAAATATTTACTATTAACTACCAGTAAACAATGGAAACGATGCACCAACGCACCACCAGCTGTGAGTGTCGGTACAGTTGCCAGGGCAGATCTCTTGCGTCATCATAGCAAGCCCAAAGTAGCCAAATGCATGGTATGGTAGCACAGGACGATGTAAAACAAAGTATTCATTTATTAAAGTTTATTTATAGGTACTGTACATAAATTTTTTTTCATTACATTTGAAACATCAATCTTTGTTAATTAAATTTGAAACAAAAGAAAACTACGATACCGTATTTCTAAATACCGGGTATTTTCATTAAGATATTACATCACAAGTATATTTTACCTTAACTGTGACCGAATGAATATATTCGCAGAAATAAATATGGAAATGTAATATTTTTGCTGAAATGACGTACGTATTACAGTGGAAAGTGGGATAAAATCATGACGAAAACAATGACTCGCTTTCTTTTGTTGTTCAAAAGATTTTACCGTGATCGCTTTTCGTATGGTTTTCAGTTAAAAATTTTTTTTATTACAATAATATTCTATCCTAATTCACTTGAATAAATACTACGATACCATATTTCTGAATATTTTCATGAAAATCCATCAAAATAATTTTCCTTGTCATCGTCTTCAGCACACAGTTGCCAGTTTCAAGATTTTCCGTTTAAAATTTTAAGTTACCGAGTATTTCTTTTCCCAAATTGTTTTTCAATACTGTAGGTAAAACAGTTTACTATTGTGCAAACCCCACAGAAAAAAAAAATTAACAAATGATGACACCAAAAATGTAAAAAAAAAAAATGCTGTGTCTGACTTGCAACACTGTTGGTAGGGTCAGGTGGTTCTAACTGCATCCTGCCAGTACCTGGTGATCAAATTTATAACAGTGTCTAACCTCAATTACTGTAGTTTATCTGATGTTGGCGATATGAAGTAAAAAATACCAGTTAAAGTGAGAAATTGGAAGAGAATAAACAAGAAAGATGTCATTGGGCTATTTTTGGTAGGGCTGAGGGAGAGAGTACCAGCTGTTTGGTTTTTTTTGGCGGGAGAGTCGCACAAATATCCGTACTAGTATTTGTTTGGTGTCTTCTGTATTTTTAAAAATGAATACTTGTAAATTAAAAGTACTGTAACATTGTACTATATACAAACTTGTCATATTTCTGGAAAATAAGAAGCAAGAACATAAGAATATACTACTGGTAAACACAATTTCAACGTACGCTAAAATTAAAGGCTGCTTAAGAAGGGCCGATGAAAAAACAAAGCCTCCTCGACCCGGGCTCTGCCGTATCAGCTAGACGGTACACGTGTTTTTCGAATCGTTTTCAGTTAAAAAACTGTTGCACCACAAGTGAATTAGGATAGAATATTATTGTAATACAACAGTTTTTAACTGAAAACTATTCGAAAAGCGATTACGGTAATATCTTTTGAACGAAAGAAAGCGAAAGTCATTGCTTTCGTCACGATTTTATCCCACTTTCCACTGTAATACGTACGTCATTTCAGCAAAAATATTACATTTCCTTATTCTCAGAAATAAATAGTAGTTTTGCTGAAACTTAATGTATTTCAATGTAAATTAGGATAAACTACATGAAAACAAAAGACTTTACCTAACCTTCCTATGTTCAAGATATGTTTCTCGTTTTTTTAATAGTTGTCGGTTAAAATACTGTTATATTAGTGATATTCTATTCATACTGTGCTTGATATAATACATTCACGGAAATGTAATATTTTTGCTGAAATGACGTACGTATTACAGTGGAAAGTGGGATAAAATCGTGACGAAAACAATGACTTTTGCTTTCTTTCATTCAAAAGATGTTACCGTAATCGCTTTTCGAATGGTTTTCAGTTAAAAAACTGTTGTATTACAATAATATTCCCTCCTAATTGACTTGAATAAATACTTGAATGGAAATATACAATATTCTTGTTGAAACTACCCGCGTTTCAGTGCAAAGTGTCGTAATAATAAATGGTAAACAATTTGCCTTCGGCACTCGGCGTTTCAGGCACGGTGAGCCTCAGTTTATAGGACGTAGAGTGTTTTTACTGAAGGTTTTGTTGTTCCAATACCCTCAAAAACTTGGGTCTACCTATAAACAAGGAATATCATAAATTAACGATTTTTTGGTCAAAAAATCAGGGTTGACCTACAATGCTGATGTCAACACAAGTGTGGTTACAGCGAAACTGACTGAGTGAGGGAGCGCAGGGTGGCGTGACGCACGTGTGTGTGTGTGGGGTGGCGGTGGTGTGCGGTGCCGCGCGCGATTTGAATGTACTTCAATTACTTCAATGTACAGAATATTCCTCCTGCAGGGCAATCCGCGTATTTGCGAATCTGTGTATGCTAAACCCGCGTATGTGAAGGGCCAACTGTGTGTATTTATATATATATATATATATATATATATATATATATATATATATATATATATATATATATATATATATATATATATATATATATATATATATATATATATATATATATATATATATAAAGTAATAATTAGTGAGGACCACCATCTCTGGCATAGTGTCCAAATAAACATGCTAACATACTGTAGTAATGTTTTAAGTTTCACGTCTTATGGTTTACTGTATATAAGTTAGTTGAGTTTGTGATCACTCCTATCCCACTGCCTCAACCATGCTGATGTTGTCTGCCTTGTGTGACTTGCTGGACAGGTCCAGGGAGGTGACAACGCACATTTTCAGGTCTGGGTGTGGGGCACTGGTCCTTGTCTGGCCTTAGGGTCAGCAGAGGCCACAATGCTGAGGCCACGGCCAATTGAAGATCTGGCGGGGCTACGGATCGTCGACATATCTGCCGGTGACTCGCACGTGCTGGCACTAACACATGAGTCTGAGGTGAGTCTTGTTTATATGTAGAGTAGACCTTCATTACTGAGTCTCTTGTTTATATGTACAGTAAACCTTCCTTACTGAGTCTCTTGTTTATATGTACAGTAAACCTTCCTTACTGAGTCTCTTGTTTATATGTACAGTAAACCTTCCTTACTGAGTCTCTTGTTTATATGTACAGTAAACCTTCCTTACTGAGTCTCTTGTTTACATGTACAGTAAACCTTCCTTACTGAGTCTCTTGTTTATATGTACAGTAAACCTTCCTTACTGAGTCTCTTGTTTACATGTACAGTAAACCTTCCTTACTGAGTCTCTTGTTTATATGTAGAGTAGACCTTCCTTACTGAGTCTCTTGTTTATATGTAGAGTAGACCTTCCTTACTGAGTCTCTTGTTTATATGTAGAGTAGACCTTCCTTACTGAGTCTCTTGTTTATATGTACAGTAAACCTTCCTTACTGAGTCTCTTGTTTATATGTAGAGTAGACCTTCCTTACTGAGTCTCTTGTTTATATGTACAGTAGACCTTCCTTACTGAGTCTCTTGTTTATATGTAGAGTAGACCTTCCTTACTGAGTCTCTTGTTTACATGTACAGTAAACCTTCCTGACTGAGTCTCTTGTTTATATGTACAGTAAACCTTCCTTACTGAGTCTCTTGTTTATATGTAGAGTAAACCTTCCTTACTGAGTCTCTTGTTTATATGTACAGTAAACCTTCCTTACTGAGTCTCTTGTTTATATGTACAGTAAACCTTCCTTACTGAGTCTCTTGTTTATATGTACAGTAGACCTTCCTTACTGAGTCTCTTGTTTATATGTAGAGTAAACCTTCCTTACTGAGTCTCTTGTTTATATGTAGAGTAAACCTTCCTTACTAAGTCTCTTGTTTATATGTACAGTAAACCTTCCTTACTGAGTCTCTTGTTTACATGTACAGTAAACCTTCCTTACTGAGTCTCTTGTTTATATGTACAGTAAACCTTCCTTACTGAGTCTCTTGTTTATATGTAGAGTAGACCTTCCTTACTGAGTCTCTTGTTTATATGTAGAGTAGACCTTCCTTACTGAGTCTCCTGTTTACATGTACAGTAAACCTTCCTTACTGAGTCTCTTGTTTATATGTAGAGTAGACCTTCCTTACTGAGTCTCTTGTTTATATGTACAGTAAACCTTCCTTACTGAGTCTCTTGTTTATATGTACAGTAAACCTTCCTTACTGAGTCTCTTGTTTATATGTAGAGTAGACCTTCCTTACTGAGTCTCTTGTTTACATGTACAGTAAACCTTCCTTACTGAGTCTCTTGTTTACATGTACAGTAAACCTTCCTTACTGAGTCTCTTGTTTATATGTACAGTAAACCTTCCTTACTGAGTCTCTTGTTTATATGTACAGTAGACCTTCCTTACTGAGTCTCTTGTTTATATGTAGAGTAAACCTTCCTTACTGAGTCTCTTGTTTATATGTACAGTAAACCTTCCTTACTGAGTCTCTTGTTTATATGTACAGTAAACCTTCCTTACTGAGTCTCTTGTTTATATGTACAGTAGACCTTCCTTACTGAGTCTCTTGTTTATATGTAGAGTAAACCTTCCTTACTGAGTCTCTTGTTTATATGTACAGTAGACCTTCCTTACTGAGTCTCTTGTTTATATGTACAGTAAACCTTCCTTACTGAGTCTCTTGTTTATATGTAGAGTAAACCTTCCTTACTGAGTCTCTTGTTTATATGTACAGTAAACCTTCCTTACTGAGTCTCTTGTTTATATGTACAGTAAACCTTCCTTACTGAGTCTCTTGTTTATATGTACAGTAAACCTTCCTTACTGAGTCTCTTGTTTATATGTACAGTAGACCTTCCTTACTGAGTCTCTTGTTTATATGTAGAGTAAACCTTCCTTACTGAGTCTCTTGTTTATATGTACAGTAAACCTTCCTTACTGAGTCTCTGTTTATATGTACCTTCCTTACTGAGTCTCTTGTTTATATGTAGAGCCTTCCTTACTGAGTCTCTTGTTTATATGTACAGTAAACCTTCCTTACTGAGTCTCTTGTTTATATGTACAGTAAACCTTCCTTACTGAGTCTCTTGTTTATATGTACAGTAAACCTTCCTTACTGAGTCTCTTGTTTATATGTACAGTAAACCTTCCTTACTGAGTCTCTTGTTTATATGTACAGTAAACCTTCCTTACTGAGTCTCTTGTTTATATGTACAGTAAACCTTCCTTACTGAGTCTCTTGTTTATATGTACAGTAAACCTTCCTTACTGAGTCTCTTGTTTATATGTACAGTAGACCTTCCTTACTGAGTCTCTTGTTTATATGTACAGTAAACCTTCCTTACTGAGTCTCTTGTTTATATGTACAGTAGACCTTCCTTACTGAGTCTCTTGTTTATATGTAGAGTAAACCTTCCTTACTGAGTCTCTTGTTTATATGTACAGTAGACCTTCCTTACTGAGTCTCTTGTTTATATGTAGAGTAAACCTTCCTTACTGAGTCTCTTGTTTATATGTACAGTAGACCTTCCTTACTGAGTCTCTTGTTTATATGTAGAGTAACCTTCCTACTGAGTCTCTTGTTTATATGTACAGTAGACCTTCCTTACTGAGTCTCTTGTTTATATGTACAGTATGAGACCTTCCTTACTGAGTCTCTTGTTTATATGTACAGTAGACCTTCCTTACTGAGTCTCTTGTTTATATGTACAGTAAACCTTCCTTACTGAGTCTCTTGTTTATATGTACAGTAGACCTTCCTTACTGAGTCTCTTGTTTATATGTACAGTAGACCTTCCTTACTGAGTCTCTTGTTTATATGTACAGTAAACCTTCCTTACTGAGTCTCTTGTTTATATGTACAGTAAACCTTCCTTACTGAGTCTCTTGTTTACATGTACAGTAAACCTTCCTTACAGGTAAACTATTACACCCTTACTAGTGTAGCTACAAGCAGGGGCGTACCTAGAGTCTTTGGCATCCCCTCCTGCCAAGATGAATAATTAAAAAAATTAAATACACACAAACATATATTATGTTTGCAAGTAAAATTTCAGGCAGATTACAGTACTTTACTGTAGTAAGCAAATTGAAAATAAGAAAAATGCAGGACATTAAAAATTCAGCAAACAGGTAATACTTACTGCATGGTATTGACATCTTCAACCTCAGAGAAAACATCACAATTAAGAATTTTCAAAAAGGTAACAGAAAACCCAGTCTCAAGGCTCGGGATATTCTTCAGAGATGAATGGAAAAAACAAACATTCACTTTCTCTACTTTCGAGCCTTAATTTCTGCAAATTGGTCAATGACCTTATCAAAACTCACTTTCTTTGCATATTCATGCTCAGTTGAAAGCAAAGCCAGGTTTGTGAATCTTGTCTGACTCATGCTTGAGCGAAGGAAATTTTTTATCAGTTTCAATTTGGAAAAACTTCTTTTACATGGAGCAATAGAGACACAGATACTCAAAAGAATATCAAGCACAATGACAAGCTTGGCAGGGATTCACAAAAATCCCATTTTACAATAAACTCTAAAACCAGCAATGCTGTCCGCTTATTTGTTTCTTCAAGGCTGATTTTGGCAGCTTCCAAACGTCTTCGAAGTCGTCTAGTTTTCACACTGATATCTTCATCAGAGAATTCATCGAACATTTTAGTCAATTTTGGAACACACTTCTGAAGTTCTTCTTCTGTTGCAACAACCAAAGAGTTTGGCTGAATAGTGGCAAAGATTAACAAAATGTGATCCTTTGCCTTTGAACGAATTTCCAATTCTTGATGATCAAGGCATTCAAACATAGCCCTTTTCATTTTCTCTGGCATAATGAGTCCAGCATCCTTTGCCATCTCCTGGCATCCTTTTTTGGAGCCTTTTTCTACCTCTCTCATAGAAATGCCCATTTCCTCACACTGTGTAGTTGCATAATGAATGGCCCTCTCCATAATTTCATTCTGTTGATCTTCAAAAAACAGATTTAAAGCTTGGAGCTTCTCGGTGCACTTTTCAAGGCTGAATCCAACTGTTTGCACATACAGTGACCCCTCGGTTAACGAACTCAATCCGTTCCAGAAGGTCGTTCGTTAACCGAAAAGTTCGTTAACCGAAACCATTGTTTCAATGGGTTTTTGGGTAATTGGTTCCAGCTCACGGAAAATTTCCTAAATTCAACAAAAAGGGTAGAAAAGTTCACTTACTTTGAGGTGTGTATGTAGATGACTCCTGGATGATGATGGGATTTAGAATGGGGGTGGAGGAGAAGGAAGAAGAGAAGGCATTGGAGTGGAAGAGAAGTCACCCCATGGCGCCATTTCACCCATAAAATTTTAGCTCTCTTGGTGTAATTCAAGATTATTTTCTTTAAATCAACACTGCACTGCATTATATATTGTCAATATGTAAAATATATTTCAAAATGACCAATAATTTGCTTGGAAACAGAAAAAAAGCATTTAGTTGAAGAGAGTCTCAAGCAAGATGTTACCTCCAGTTAAAACAGAGAGAGACTAACGCCTGTTTGCTGTGTTAAGAGGCTGGATGCCGCGCATTAAACTAGTCACTTTACCTTCAATTATGTTCAATAATTGTTAAAATGACTAAAAAATTGAATATTAACTTTTAAAATTATTGAATAGTATAAACTTCTTGATATTTACTAAAATAGTAAGGAATTTAAGCCCTAGAACCGATTAATGTATTGGCGGACTGATACTAAAGCTGGTTGCCCGGTCAGTGCAAGCGAAAACATGTTGAGGTCTGTTCGTAAGAAATTCGTTAACCGAATTTTTGTTCGTTAACCGAATTGAAGATCCTTATGGAAGGCAGTTCGTCACCGAAATTTCGTTAACCAAGGCGTTCGTTAAACGAGGGGTCACTGTACTTCTGTGTGAGATCAACCTCTTCCAGGACTTCACACCAGAAAGAAAGATGACTCAAAAAAGAGAATTAACATACAATAGACAGCAAAATCTGAGCTGATCCTCTTGTATCCACATTT